GCCAAGTACAAGTGATGATTACAAAATAAAGGAATGTAAATACAAATCTATCCTAATCCTTCTTCAACTCTTCAGACTTTCTTCAGGTGAGCCAACTCTTCTCTAAGACCCCTGACCATGTCTCTATAGAGGAGAATGAAGCTAAAGACAGTAGGCAGGGCATTCTCATAGGTCATTTCCCTGAAAGCATCCCTTAGCCTTTGAGGAAAATGTGTATCAAGCGATTAACATGCTTAACCACTCATATACTTAATGAACCATTTGTCGGTTATTATTTATGCATGGAGGGAGAGTATTTTCTCTTGTTTCAATTATTTTTCTTTCTCTTCAAACTTGGATTCCCAATATAACTTCACGTCGTCCCTGTATTTTCTTAAGCGTTGAGAAGTGAGCCTAAGTTCATGTAGCTCTGCCAAGGCTTCTTCATGTCCCTAAAGATTTTGGTAGGTCCTTTCAATTTCTACTTAGTGTTGAGTTTCTCGCACGGCTTGAGCTTGGGCTCCTTGAAGTTTCTTTGAGGGATGTTTAAGTTTGCTTTCAAAGGCTTCCCTCATTATCTTCCTTTCTTTGGATGCTCTATCCCACCAGGCTTGCAGTTCCTTGTTTGCTTTGACGGATCTCTAAAGCTCTTCATTTATTTCATCAAGCTCTAGGCCTAATGTGTCTAAGCACTCCTTATCCTTTTTCCTCTTTCCTCTTTCTTGTGAGGAGGTCTCATAACTCTCATCAAGCTCTTTGTCCATTTTCCAAGACAACATTTAAGCTCATTCTTCTCTGTAGCAACGTTGCAATGTATGTGGTGTAGCTCTTCATTTTCTTTGGTCAACCTGGCTATAGTAGCTCTGAGTTATTCTGCATCCTTAATAGGGATATTAGTAGGCTTAGGTGGCGGAGGAGGAACGAACATCACAACACTGAAGGGAAATTTGATCAACTTCACCCTCTCCCTTATCCAATGGCAATAAAGTTCCTTGGCAACATAACTCTTCTTTCTCGAATCATATATTCCCTTCTTATTGATCTTATCCCTTACCTTCTTAAATCTTTCGAACAAAGCAGGGATCCCAACTCCCAGGTCACGTAGCAAGAAGGCTTCCAACAATCTCTCTAAAAGAGTTCCCTCGATTGGGTACCCATGTTGCCTCAAGGATAAGACTAGGTTAGAATTAATACACCCTTGTGTCCCAATAAGCGGTATGTTGGGAAATTCCCCACAACTGGATATAATATTCATGCCATCATACTCTCTAGAGTACCACGAGATATCACTTGCTCTGAGTGATCCCATCCTTTAAGGCCAACTAGAATTGCTTTGTTCTAAGAAAGGCCCTTCCTTTGAAAGATGAGTTAGCAACTTATATAAAAATGAAGCGCAACAAAAGATCATTCCTCCCTTATTCTCATGTCTTCAACTGAGGTGATAGTACACATCAGCCAATAGGGTAGGAATTGGATTCCTCGTGAGGAAGATGCTAATGACGGTCATGTCTATGAAATCATCCAAGTTTGGAAATAGAATGATTCCATTAATAGCCAATGCAATCACAGTATAACAAGCCTCCCAACTCTGAGCATCCATAAAAGTATAGGCTTTCTCTATTAAAAACTTGAGTGAGAAGCCTTTATTGTTCCCCTTGACTTCCAAATTGGGGGTAATGTCCTTCTTATGCATATGAAGAGCAGCAGCTATAACCTCATGTTTTAGATACTCTTCTACAACCATAAATGACATCTTGTTCTTTATAGGAATGCCAACTAGATGCTTAAATTCTTCTAACGTAGGCACTATCTGGAAATCTTGGAATATGAAACACCTCATTGGAGGATCATAAAACTGAGCCAAAGTCAAAAGTGCTAAGGGATCCACTTTTTGACTTAAGACACTGAGTAAATTTCCATAATCTTTTCCAAAGTCGGTTTTTTAAACCGGATGCAGCCGAGAAACCAACTCAGGAAGACTGGCCAACTGAGGATCTTTGAACTTATAAGAGCAAGTGCTTCATTTGTCTGATCCCATACTTTTTGAATGTCTGCAACTGATTCTCAGATTCCTTTGAAACAAAATGCAAATGTTAAGTTTATGAATATGCAATGCTTATGCATGGGTTTCAGGATCACAAGCATAATCATGTTCTTAGGTTAGTCATGACAATGAGTAAATAATCGATATCATTAATTAAAGGAACCCGATAGGTAGACTTTATGGTTGGTAGGTTCCTAGAGTCATGGATCCTTCTCGATGACATCACTTCCATGACAAAGGCTCGTCGGACAAGGATACCCTCAAGACAATCTCTTCTAGGTGAGGCCTTTGTATCATCCCAACGAGGAAGATATCTCACGGACCAATGCTACACAACCATCGACTCCAAGGTTATAAAAGGTCCCTAGAGTCATCGATCCCACTTGAAAACACTATCGTTGTGACGAAGGCTCGTTGGACAATAACATCTCCAAGAGAAACTACTCTAGGCGGGATCTTCGTATCGTCCCAACAAGAAAGATACCTCGCAGACCAATAATACACACCCACCATCCTAATCTTATGATTTTCCTCAGACTCGGGTAGAGAGCCTATCTCATGAAGTGTCAATAACTAGAGATCTCCCAATAGTATCAATGGGCCATAGTTGTAGCACATAATAAAATAATGCAGATAGAAGAAAACAACTTACAAAGTTAACAATTTCCCCAAAGTTAACAAAATTAGGCTTGACTCTCTCTAGCTTAGAGCATGATCACCAGCAGAGTCGCCATCGCATCTCGAAAAATATGATCATTCGCAAAGCGTTCGCGCGCGCGCGGAATTGACATCGAACAGAGTTGCCACCAAACTTTATTTATTCCAAAGAGTGAAAGAGAAGACATCGATAAAATCCTTAAAAGAAAAAGAAAAGATGGTCGTCGCAAACAAATTCGAGTTCGAGAGTCGATTACGCAAGGAAAAGGTATTAGCACCCTTTACGTCCGTTGTACTCAACGAGAACCTTTTAGTTATATTTGCGATTGGATGTTAGCTTATGTTTATTGTTTTCTTTGGGTGATCAAAAGTGTAAAAGGAAAATAAAAAGGATTGCAAAAAGGTTTTTATTAGGGTGTTTGACGAGATTGCGAGTCTCGCTCATACGTATCTTTTGGTACAATGAGGAACTCAAGTTTCGTAATTCGACGTAGAAAACTACGTGTTTGTGGCTTGGTTTGTTTTATTAAATAAGTGTTTAGATCGTATTCTAGCGGTTACACATTGACTTGTATGCTCAGGGGGACGCTTAAGCACTTGTTAGGCACATGAACTTTTATAAATAAAGTTTTTTAAATCACAAATTTATGCATCTCATAATAGGATTATATATTTTTGTAATATTTTATAGTTAACGAGTTGTTTGACGCTCTAAATTAGCGGTAGACGGCCAATTACCGAAATTATCAAAGTTAAATCTGTCTTTATTTCTACATATCATATTGTTCATATCTCTTACAACAATCATTTCTTGCAGTGACCAAAATGTATTACAAATTTCAAACATAGAATGCACATTATAAAACCTTAATTTATATCGAGTGGTTTAAAATTTTGACGAATTAATTTTCTTTGTTAATTAACAATTAAAAAAATGATCAATAAATCTCAGTGACTTTTTTCTTATTCTCATGTTTTAAATTAAGATATTTTAACTATATTTGCCTTCTAAACTCTAAAGTGTCCCTATGATAATAAGATACACTTATTGTAGGCAAATATTACTTTAAACATGCTGGTGTAATCTTATTGGTGGTGTCACTTAGGTGGATGTTGATATATAATTCTAACTTTAACAACACGTACCATCAATTTAGTTACTTGCATCTTTAGACCTTTCCAAAGGATGTGTTGATCATATTTCTTATCCATACTCATTTCAACTGCCTCAAGAGCCATCTCAGCATCCATTACCATTCTAATTAATACAAATTAAGATTAACTAGTTAAGATTGATTTTGTCTAAATTTTGCAACAAAATTAGTGACTCTATAATCCAATTAACTTTGACCCCACATTTCCATAGCCGACCGGCTTTAATTATCATCATTTACATGTCACGTTGAACAAGACACATACAACTCACATCATTAAAAAAATATTAATTTTTTTAAACATATTAACAATATATTAGTCCCAAATTATAAGATATTCCAAATAAGTCTGAAATAAGAAATGTAGAGAAAGAAATATTATTATTTATTCATTATAAAAAAATTATTAAAAAAAAAATTAATATAAGACATATTAAGAAAAATATCATTAATATTGCATTGGAATTGTATAATGATTTATAATTTAGAATAAATTTTTTTAACAAAATAATTTATAATTTGTGATAGAGAAACGTCCTCATCGAAATCAAATCATTACATTTTTGTTCAGAATTAAAAATGATCGGTAAAATGACGAAATAATGTCTTGTTGCAATAGATTTATGCTTTTGATGTGGTAGATAAGTGATTTATCTAAAAAATTAGCACACTAACGTTCAAATTAAAAAGAGAATAAATTGTAAAATGAAAGTGAAAATGCATTTGAATGAAATGAAACGTCTTTCTCTTTATGTAATAAGAAGTTTAAAATCATTTTCATAAGAGGAGATATGTTGAACAATTAATTAATAAATTTAATCAGATGATGATTGACACATCTAAACGACATAATTTTCTAATATTAAGAACCGAGAAATTATATCCTTTGAATTTTATCACTTAATGACGCTTTTAAATTTTATTTAGTCTTACGAACGAATCAAATTATTTTTATAAAGATATTAATAAAACAATATATATATATATATATATATATATATATATATATATATATATATATATATATATATATATATATATATGACTAGGCGCACTTGTTGTTGCACATGTGTATATATATATCTATACATAGATATGAGGATTCTGTCTGACTTTGATAAATTGATTCTTGAATACTCTGAATCAAATTGATTCTCGAGAGTGAAATGGTGGACAACAACATTGGAGGAAGTTCTTTTGATAACGAAAATGGCGGCATTAAGGAACAAGATCGGTTGTTACCAATAGCAAATGTTGGGAGGATAATGAAGCAGATATTACCACAGAATGCAAAAATCTCAAAGGAGTCAAAAGAAACAATGCAAGAGTGTGTTTCAGAGTTCATAAGCTTTGTGACAAGTGAGGCATCGGAGAAATGCAGGAAGGAAAGGAGAAAGACAGTGAATGGTGATGATATCTGTTGGGCTTTGGCTACACTTGGCTTTGATGATTATGCTGAACCAATGAGAAGGTATTTGCATAGATATAGAGAATTAGAGGTTGATAGAACACCAACTGCTAATAATATTCTTCAAGATAGAGCAAATTAATTCAACTCTGTCACTTGTTTTCTTTCTTCTTAATTACTACATCTTAATCTTAATTACATGTACTTTTCGTTTATGCACTCACCGTGTTTCGGGTTATTTGTTGAACCAGTTTCATTATCTTCATCTTGATTAGCATCACATAAAACTATTTTCGATGTTATCTATAGATTGACATATCTACAGAGTGAGATCATGAACACTGCATATTTTAAATCTAAAATTAAAAAAGAATTTGATAAATATCTATGCTGGTAAAGATTTATAAGAGGAACGGATCAAACAATTATAAATAAAACCGACGGATCCGTTTTGACAGTAGAGCGGCTTCAAAGACAACCTTGTTAGGGAAGAGACCATATTCAAAGACATTAAGAATTATACTTGAGGATGTTTATTGTCAACGCATAGCTCCAAAATAATGGAGCCAAAATAAGTGGAGCTTACAATACAAGCTCTTTAGATTCATTGTACTAACTAGATCATGTAGATTGAGTCATTCACTAAAGAAATTAGATTATGAAAGCATGTATTATTTTTTTAGTGTGATGACATGGTTGATGACAAGAACAATTGATCTTGCCATGTGTCTGTTAGCCAAGTGGTTGCCTTAGAATGCACACAACAAATTTGGAGTAACACGTGTCAATGTGCCTGCGGAGTATACAATAACTTAAGTCAACTAATACATGGATTAAGCACTAATCTTTATTTTACTGAAATTAATTTAGCACTAATCTAGTCAATCAATATGTATTGCATTCCAATCAGGACCACAACACCATGCGGATGCACAATCAACTTTGTGAGCTCATCATAATTATAAAGTTATCATTGTGTATTAGAGCATCATCTAAGATTTTTTTTATAAAGAAATATGTTCTAGATCGAAACTAGAATTATAGTTAAATTATGAGGTTTGATTTTTGATGTGGTGTTTTAAGTTTTAGATGCAGTGGAATAGGGGGTGGACTAACAAGATTAACATTCTAACGTTAAAGTTAGTTAAGTATTAAAAAAAATAGAATGAAACATAAAAAGTGTGTGTACCTTATGTTTTACACATGTGAATATATATACCTATGTGTTAAATAGCTATTGAGCTTCTCTTAGAATAATAAGTAAACCTCTCTCATTGTGCCTTTGGCTAAACCAGAAAAGTTGTCTCTAAGACTTATTGCGAAATATCGAGCGAGGAGTCTTTGAATTCGTGTCGGTCTCAAAGCATTCGGTAGACTGCCATTAAAGTTGTGGAGAGCTCTAGATTAGGTTGTAAAGGGTGTGAGAGACAAGTTCATTAAATGATAGTTTTGTCATCCCGTCGCTTTGTATGATCTGATACACGTGACTTCCCATTTCGCAGGCTAGGATATTCGAATGCACTTAAGTGTCGTTGTATTTCTAATGCACAAATCTGAATTTTTCATTCCATCTACTCATCATCCTATGATTTAAATCATTGATTAGTTTGATTATCTTTCCTATATAAAGACAATTTGGTTTTCAAATGAACTTTTCGTTCTTATACCTCTTTGGAACTTGTTGCTATCTTGTAACCTCGTTTCTATGGCGAATGCCGACAACCTTTAGTCTTCTCATCCCCTTGTAGGTTTAGGGCTCATTGTCGCTACTGCAAAAATCGGCGCCGGCTGAACAGAAGAGTCGCCACCGTGCGTTATTTATCCCAACAGAGGGAAAGGAAACGCTCGAAGTAAACCTACCGCAAAGATGGGAAAGGAATGATCATCGCAACCAAATCCTGGATTCGGGAGTCGGTTACGCAAGGGGAAGGTATTAGCACCCCTCACGTCTGTCGTACTCGACGGGATCCACGCTTGTTTTCTGGTACGGATTGTTATTCTATCTATTCTACAGGTCTGGGGTTAAAAGAAAATAAAATGACTCGGCAAAGTATCGCACCTTATGCCTACGTATTCCCGTCTGGAACGAGAAATCAGAGTCAACGTAGTTCGCCTACCTACTGGAAAGGAGGGGAAGGTTGCTCGCTAGGATATCGCATCCTATGCCTACGTACTTTCATACAGCATGAAAGATCAGAGAAAACGTAGTTCAGGCCACGTACGACACAAGTCTGTCTTGATTGTTTTTATCTCCTTCTGAAAAAGGGTTTTTCTGATTACCGGTCCAAGCGGACAAAAATGACGTTTTGATTGGTTCACATTCTTTTACGGAAGAAATGTCTTTTATTGTGTTTGAAATATTTATTGTTTTTTTCTGTTTGTTTTGAGAAAGAAGAGACAGAACTCTAAAACCTATGGTTGAAAAGGGAATCAAACTAACCTAATGTTATCATGCATGAGTTAAGACCTAATGTTTATCATGTTTCTCTCTTGCGCAGAGAGAAACAGAGATCCTAAGGGGATAAACGGAAACAGAAACAACAGCTACAATAAAACAGTAAAATATGCATGAATGCAACAATACAAGCGAGGCGAGGGAGTCCCACTCTACCTCGAACCCAGAAAACAACAGGCAGAAGCGAACGAAATTCACTTCCAACCTAACAGATTAATTGGCAAACAATACAGTCCGGGAAACTCAAACAATACATCAAAAGCTTATAACCAGCAAAAACAAACAGCAAACAGCAACTCTGCACAGCAAGCTCCATCATCTTCTATCTTCAAGTCATCTTCAAAACATCTACAAGCTTCAAGCAAGCATCAATCTTCAAGGAGAGAAACCCTAATAGTAAACACCTTCAACAGCTTCATACAGGAGGGCTCCAACAACAACAACCAAACGCACAGCTTCAACAGCACAATCTTCATCTTTCACAGCCTTCAAGCAAGGTCTCTATCTTCAATCTTTCATGGCTTTTCTTCAACTCAAACTCTCCAAGATGAGTAGCAGTTAACAAGATGAAATGGATGTTAAACAATCAGTTGCCTACCAAAGGTGGCCTACTGACTATTAACAAGATACAAACAGTTTTCTCTCAAAAGTTCTATCTTTTAAATACATTCACTAATCCTTCCAAAGGAAGGAGGTGAGTATTTAAAAGAGACTTTGAATCATAGAGAAAGAACGGAGGCAAACAAGACCTTCCATGTTTATGAAGCAAGTTTCTACTCTAAGCTCTATCTAGCTCCTAGTTCCTATAACCTTCAATAGCTACAAGCAAGCTGCAATCTTCATCAACCCTTGAAATTTATCTTCACTCCTTTTATCTTCAATGGGTTTCATCAACAAAGTCTTCAACTCAAACCCATACCCCAAGCAAGCCCAATAACCCACACAATCAAACAATAACCCTAGAAAGGGCACACCATACAATCAATCAATTATAAAAATATACTAAAAGTGCTAATATAATAGGGGAAATCCTAACATTTTCTAAGGGATCTACTATGCTTACCCTTAATACCCCTATAGTCTCATCTTCTAATTCAACCTAAAAAACCCAAAAGGAAATTGTTTTGATATACCTATGTTATGTTCAAAACCCTAATTAACTAGTCTAATAGTTTCTAGCTAAACTACCTAAAGTGAAATCCTAAAAAAAGTGGTATAAAAACCAGGGGCACCTAATATCCATATCTAGTTGTACTAAAAAGAATGGGGTGAAAATCCTAAAGGAAACTCCTAAACTAAATTCTACAAATAGTAGCATCAACTAAAAGAATTAAAAAAAACAATTAAATGTAAAAATATGCAAAAAAATATAAAAATGAAGTAAAATGACAATTTTATGATTTTATATTTTTCTTGACAGAAAATGGAAAATGGGAGAAAAAAAATCCCACGAGAAAATATTATTTTTTCTATTTTATATGAATTTTTAAAGATTAAGAAAATTTGGAGAAAAAATTAATGTGGAAATATGCATGGGGGTATGAACAGAAATTAAATGCAGTTAGTTTTATATTTGGGCCCAGATATGTGGGTGCGCATAGCATAGCGCTTGGGCCCAGCTTGTTATTCAGAAAACAATAAAAATCATAAAAGAAAAAAAACAAAATGGCGGTGCATTAAGCAAGGAATTATAGTGTAAAACACGGATTGGGCCTGCATGGGGGTGGAAATAGGAATTGAACACAAAGCCCAGAAGTTCCACTTAAGTGGAACGCAGCGTTTAATGTTGCTGGCTTTCCCTCCAATCTCGTTTCAAATCGCAGCCGTTCGATCCTTCTCCAAGTCAACTGGTCAACATTCATATCAACGGTAGTGATTTCATCTTCTACCTTGGGCAACCTAGGGTTTCTGAACCACCATGAAAACACATTCATGCGCTAAACTTCCATCAATGCGTGCTCACTCATCTCTCCATCAAATGACTCGATGTAAGAACCAATCTTGTTCTATTTTCCACGTAGAATATAGTTGTGGCCTTAGATTGCATTGAAACAAACTATATCGTCCAAACCGAAAGGTATAACATCATGAACTCAACATTTCATCAGTTTTCAACCTTCACCAAACTCACCATTCTTTGTACAAAAATAATCCTAATGCTATATTGATTAAAACTATCTAATCATCTAAGATTCTAACCACTTATTCACTATGTTCTATGCCCAAACAGAATTCACTTGCATACATCAACCTCCATAAAATCTTGCCAAATGCTCCAGAAATGATCATCTAACCACCTAGAGTATGTTTAACCTAACAATTCTACTTCATGCTACCTAATTCAAGACAAATCGTGAGAGATACTAACTTGGTAAGAAGATGAAAATAGAAGGTCGAATTCTTCAACTCAAAGCTTGCAATGCTCCAGGATCACTCAATGTACTATGATCTTGATTCTGTATGCAACAATTCTTGCTCAAACCACCTGGATCCTCATAACCGATTTCAATTGCACTTGGATGTGAGAATTTTGCAGAGCACGATTCAGGCCACTATTCACTCAGATCTTGGTTGCCATGTGATCAATGATGATTATTGAATAGAATAGAAACAAAATCTTGAAGGAATGATGAAGAAATAAGAAGATTCGAAGCAATTTGCAAAAGAGAATGTGAAATGCAAATTCT